CAAGAGGCATACCATGAGTGCTGATATAGAGAACAATAACACCGGGACTTTTAACTACACATGTATCACTCCACTTTACCGGTGTTCTGAACTATTAATTACATTAAACATCAATTAGCATACGTTAATGGTCATTGTAACAACCTTTGCACTGAAAATACGAACATATTTTCACAGATTACATTTGAATCACACTATTAATGTTTGTCAGAAGATGACAAATGGAAAAAAAGGTAGCTTGGATACTTCACTGCAAATTTTTTGACTGTTAGCAGCCTTTTATTTTACCGGTTGCACTATAACTGGAAACATACGGATAAATGTACATGATACAGAGTAGCTGGCATGAGGTAACCTGTAGACTGACACAAGGTAGCAAGGTAGTGTGCAGAAATACATGCGTATGTGTTGTTTGATATATATAAAGGTCAAAAAAGAACTGATTGAAGAGTCTTTACCTTTGATTAAGCCCATTCTGTGAGTCATGCACCTACGATTTCAAATCGAGTGCCGCTGATGCATCGAATTCCCTGCTGTGCTGTGTTAACTCGTAGTCTTTAATATTATATTTTGAAGAATATCCTGAAAGGGTTTTTGTATTTAACTCAACTAAAGAGGATATACTGGGGCTTACTGATATACTAAAGTAAAGTTTGGGGCGGGGGGAAAAACAAACAAAAAAACCTTTTAATCCTAAAAGCTAATTGACGTCCCTGAACACACGCAGAACCATTTGGACTCACTTTTTCAGAGCATCTTTTGAACTTGTACTTGATGTTTCATTTCTGTAGGTTTCAGATCCAGACTGAATTACAGCACCATTTAATACTTGTTTCATTTTCATCTTTATATGAAAAGAGGATGCCATTTCATTTCCATTTTTACAGAAAGTATCAAATGATTTTAATTTCTTGAAATGGTAGATCAAGAGTACCTAATTCCATCAGTGTAGTTTGACAAATGGCCAAGAACATTATTTCCTGCTATCTTGCAGGATTATATATGGAAAAGATCAGCAAGTAGGATATTAAATATAGGCATATTTTCAGTTATTACAACGGGATAGACAGATATTATTACATTTCTGTATATTTGAGGGGGATATAATATGATTCTGATATTAATAGATAATAAACGGATGTGAGAAACTGTTAATATACTCAAGACTATAGACCTTTTCTTACTTAATGGCACAAATATTTCTCCTGTTCCTTTGTATTTCCTGTGGCAGTGTTTGTCGATGCAGTATAGCTGACAGGACCAAAGCTGTTCCCCTAGCAACCGAATAGCAATGAAAAGGTCTATAGACTATGAAGTAAATTATGGCAATAATTGCTCCAGCTACTGTGATTTGAATGGCATTGGCACTTGTAAATAGTTCCAACATAAATACACTTTTTAGTCACAGTAATTGCTTCTTGTCTTTGAACAGCTTAAGATAACTTCTTTGTCTATTAGCACTGGAGAAATTAAATTCCAATTATGCTGATACAATTCATATTTCCTGCAATTATTGTGTTCAAAGTGCATTCATAACAGCAGTGACTTCTCAAACATAAATTGGCATGCCTTTTTCATTTAGCCATGCAGCAAAGGTTAATTACTGTACCCAATAAGCTTACAGTGTCACTTTATAATAGGATTTGGATAATGGCATTTTGCTCAAATGTGACAGACTGCAGTCCAAACAGGGGTAGCGATGGAATAATGGAGGATTAAAATCACTTAACGTTGCTTAAATGTTGAATGTCTTTTTCCATTCAGTGTGTAAACTTTTTCTTGTTCAGCTTGGCAGCAGCTCTTGTCCTAGAAACGCCTCATGCACCACATGATTCTAAAGAATTTATAAGCAAAATATCTACATTGTACTACTTCTTTGCAAATGTATAAGTAACCCACAAAGTCTCATTTAACATCACCAGAGGGTCTGTTAGTCATGTGGATCTCCTGTTCCAGAGAAACAGGCAGAGCGCTTGCCTGCAGGGAAGAGTTAAAGCTCGTCAGTCTGATCTCATCAGCTGAGGCCTGGATCTTAACACTGAGTCTTTCCTGTGTCCCAATCACGATGTTATGCCAGAGCTCCTCAAATATTTTCTTTCATAACCAAAGGAGAAAACAAATGTTGGTGCCAATTTGATTAAATTTCAATTTGTCTTAATTTGTCTCACTAGCGTAAATTGGGACATGAATTGAATGCTGTCTTTTGATGCTGGTGACTGTTTTAGTTCATTTTATGTGATAATATTTTTTTCCTAAAACTCAAAAAACCACTTTCCACTGTTTATAAAACTTATCTGACATCTGCAACGGTCTGACTAATTTTGAGCTGACAAATTTGTATGTTGTTCATCATCATCGTTATCATTGTAAATCAACTTACAGTAAAAGTAAAACAGGAGGCAATGCCATTTAGTCAAGTGCACCACACTCTGAGCTCAAGAGTTCAACAATCTTAAGGCCTGAGGGATGAAGCTGCCTGGTGGTCCAACCATTCATCCATCTATCTTATCTGGGGCCGGGTCGCCGGGCAGCAGGCCAAGCAAAGCACCCCAGACATCCCTCTCCCTGGCAGCACTCTTCAGCTCCTCCTGGGGGACCCCAAGGCGTTCCCAGACCAGACGAGATATGTAATCCCTCCAGCGTGTTCTGGGTCTGCCCCGGGGCCTCCTACCAGTGGGAAGTGCCCGGAACACCTCCAGCGGGAGGCGCCCAGGAGACATCCTGATCAGATGCCCAAGCCACCTCAACAGACCCCTTTCGACGCAAAGGAGCAGCGGCTCTACTCCGAGCTCCCTCCAGATGTCCGAGCTCCTCACCCTATCTCTTAGGCTGCCTGGTGGTGCGGGACCAAATGCTGCAGTACTGTCTGCCAGACAGCAGCAGGCAGAACAGTTTTTGGCTGAGGTGATTTGGGTTTTTGATAATCCTTATGGCTTTCTTCCTACACCGCTGGGTGTAGAGGGTGCCAGCACCATCCTGACGTGACTTGCTGTGCAGTTTTCACAACCCTTTGTAATGCCTTACAGTTGAGCATGGTGCAACTGCCATACCAGGTGTTGATGCAGCTGGTCTGGATACTCTGGATGGTGCACCTGTAAAAGTTGCAGAATATCCTGGAGTCTGTGTTGAACCTTCTCAGCCTGCGGAGGAAAATGAGGCGCTGTCATGCAGTGTTGGTGATGATGTCTGTGTGGTGAGTCCAGGTCATGTCCTCACTGCTGTGAACCTTGAGGAAATTGCCTTGCTGATTCTCTCCACAATAGTCCCATTGATTGAGATGGGAGTTGTGCCCTTCTCTCTAGCTCCTTTTACACTGCCAGATTTTCCGCGAATGTTGGGCTGTTTTACAGGCCAGCTGCGAGCGTTTAGACACACAGAGCCAGACTGGCGAGTTGATCTGAGGTGCCCAATTTTCCACTTGGTAGGGTAGTCATATTGGCGGAACTCTTTAGTTTAAACAGACCGCAATGGGAGCGGCTGTTTAAGACTTGTGGGAAGAGCTGTTGATGACGCCACACGTGCGAGCCACTGGCGGTGGATAAACAGGAAACAGCTGATAGCAGGAATTAGCAAACAGCTAGTAGCAAGAGGGAAATGCAAACCTGACAGACACTGTAAAGATGAGCAACTGGGGAGACAAGGAATTGCGCAGCCTCCTTGCCCTCGCAAACGAAGAGGCCATTAACCGTCAGATGACGGGAACGGTGAGGAATGGGCAGACTTACGAGAGAATCGCCGAAAGACTGACCAGCCGCGGCTTCCCTCCCACGTCACTAGTTACGTCACACGCTGAGCCACACGTTTTGTTACTTGCTCACGCCCCCCATTGCCCCGAAAAAGGCACATTCTGTATACAAAACTCCCCGATTTTGCTTTTATACTGCATATAATGCTGAAAAAAGACTGATTGGGCTTTCCTACAAATTTGCACAATTCCTATCTAAAAACGGCTTCTGTCTCTCCATGTAGTCCACAAGCAGCTCCCTAGTTATGCTGATGATGATGTGGAGGTTGTTGTTCCAGCACCAAGATGTCAGAGCTCTGACCCCCTCTCTGTAGGCTGTCTCGTTGCTGCCGGTGATAAGACAGATGACAGTCGTGTCATCAGCAAACTTAATAACTGTGTTGGAGTTGTGTGTGGCCATGCAGTTTTGCGTGAACAGGGAATACAGGAGAGGGCTGAGCACACAGCCCTGCGGGGCTACAGCGTTAAGTCAGGGTGAGGGATGAGGGGTGTGGGGTCTGCCTGTCGGAAAGCTCGGGATCCAGTCACAGTGGGTGATGTTGAGTCCCAAGCCTCTGAGCCTAATGACCAGCTTAGAGTGCAGAATACTGTTGAATGCTGAACTACTGAACAATGTTAATGAACAGCATTCTCAAGGAGGGGGGTTGATAAATGTAAAATATACAGTATGTATATGTGAAATTGATCGGTTGAATTGATAAAGCAGACGCATAATTATTAATATAAATATGTTTTAATAAAAGAAGTAATACAGGACCTATCTAGTCTTAAACAAGCAAGTGAGAGTTACTGTTGATTAGAAGATTTACCTCTTGCCTATTAGTCTATTCAAAGCAACCACCAGAAGTGGCATAGCTTAGCTTAACATATGGACTGGAAGCAGGGGGAAATAGCTTGCCTGGTTTCATCTAGAAGTAACCAAATTTGCTGACCAGAACCTTTTAAAGCATGCTAACTAACATGTAACATTAAGACAACATGTCTTGTCATTACAGAGCGGCTGCTAAGTAACCAGTTGAGAGTCCCCAAGCTTGGTGAATAGTTTTATTGTGCATCCTGCATTTGTTTGTGTACTGGATTGATTGATTTGTAGTTCCTTTTTATTTCCCCGGTGAAATGGTTTGCAAGGTATGTGAATGACATGAGCTGTCAGGAGGTCAACATGGACGGCAACGCTGTTATAAAAAAAAAAAAAATAAGGCACAAAAACATTATATCTGAGCGACACAGTAAAAACATTTGTTTTCCTTTGCAGCCTGCTTGAAAAATGTGCACATAAAGCAGCAGTGATCTGGACCGGGGCCACAGCAGAGATGAATCTGTCTGAGGAGATGCTGCTGGGTAACTCCACCTGGGCTTACTCCTACCACCAGAACTACACCATGCCACCTCCGCTGCTACCAGACAAGACCAGCACTTCTAAACCTGCAGCATGCGAGCAGGTCCACATCGCTGTTGAGGTATGAACAGGATGTTTTGATTTGTTTCATTTCTTAACAAACTGAGTTACAGTACATCCATTAAACCGTTCACTATTACTACACTATTCCACTAACCTTTTTGGCATGAGAGTGATTTACTGCTCTGATATTGGTACATTTTAAGAGTTTTAAATGGGGCTGCACAATATTGGAAAAAACTGACATAGCGATATTTTTTTATTTTTTTTGCAATATATATTGCGATATCAAAAAATACAAGAATTTTCACCGGATGACTTAAAGTACAAAAATTAAAAAAATAATGGAGGGGCTTTTACTCAGCACAACTGCAGACGCTACCAGCTTCATTTGAAACAGACTACATTATAAAAGGGCCGTTATTTATTAATCCCTCTGTGTTTTTATATTTTTACTTTTTATCTGCTCCCGTTGCCTTGATAAAGTTAATGCATCGCGCCGTCATTTCAAACTCAACACTTCCTGAACTTGTTTCAAATTAAAAGCCACTTATAACCTCAGCTAAGAGAATCCCTTCATTTTCTAAATAGGCTTTTATTGTGAAACATTTGTCGGAACTTGGTTGTGGAGGATACAGTAGCTTGTATGTTTGTGTACAGTACTTCAAATGTAGCTCCTGCCATCTGCTGACGCTTTTAGGTGACTACAACAACATTTGGGCTGGCACATGAACAGACACAATAACTCAGATGATAGTAAAAGTAATAAAAATAGGACAAGAATAACCCGATGACATCACACATGTCGTGAAAGACGACCGGGGGATAATTGGTGTGTACCACCGTGTAGTGTGTCATGTCTGTCGGCCAAGTCACGGCATGATTTTATGACTCCACAATTGTGTAATGTGACATACTGACTTTCAGAATGGGCAGAAAAGTCGTGTAGTGTGTACCAGGCATAAATCCTCCTTTAACGTTTCTCCCTCTTGCATGTCGCTCATTTTCGGTGTGTGACTGCAGCGTGTGCATGAGAGGGGGAGGGGCTGCTGAGTGACAGAGAGAGAGAGAGAGACAGCAGGAGAGAGGTGAGCAGAGAGGAGCATCGGGAGGGGCTTTAGAGCGGCTTTTCTGAAGCAAAACAAAAGTTTACATGTTCTAAAGAGAAAACATCGCATGTCCTGCGATATGACTATCGCACATACGCCCATCGCAATGGCAGTGTCCAAACAATATATCGTGCAGCCCTAGTTTTAAAGTCCTGGTGAGGTAAAACACATAACAGTGTTTCTCAGAAAAAAAAGCCTGAAAAAATGCTCAAAATTTTGCAAAGTAGTATTTCTTTCTTCCTCTTTCCTTTCTTGTTATTTACCCCATCAGCCCTCAGATTGATCTCACACTGTACTCTACTGTCCTCAGGTTTTTCTCATCCTCGGTATCATCTCCCTGCTGGAGAACATCCTGGTCATCACAGCTATCGTAAAGAACAAGAACCTCCACTCACCCATGTACTTCTTCGTCTGCAGGTGAATGGTTCAGCTGTAGAACACACACCATGAAATATAATAACATCATATGCTCAAAACAGTCTTAATGGAGTGTATTTTTTCATGCTTTTGCATTCAGTTCAGTTCAATTCACTGTTATTTCTAAGGCCCAATATCACAAACCACAATTTGCCTCAGAGGGCTTTACAGCATACAACATTCCCTCTGTCCTTAAACCCTCACAGCAGATAAGGAAAACTCCCCCAAAAAACCCTATAAAGAAAAAAAAAAGTTTGAAACCTCAGAAAGAGCAACTGAGGAGGAATCCTTTTCTAGGACGGACAGACACGCATGTTGTGTATACAGGACAGATCACCATGATAAGGAGGAACAACAAGTAAACCTGCATTCTCAGAGCGCAGTGTTATGTTGGGATAATACGGTGCTATGAGCTCTCGAAGATATGACATAGCTATGAGGTCTTTAGAGCTTTGTCAGTGAGGAGAAGGAATTTATTCTGGGGGGATTTTACAGGGAGCCAGTGCAGAGAAGCTAAAACAGGAGAAATATGATCTCTTTTATAAACTCCCATCAGCAGTGTTGAGCAGAAGCGTCACTACAAGTAGCGACGTCATTAACTTAACTACATTTCTCAGTAGTGTGGTGGTAACGTTACTACTTTCAAATAGCTTTTCAGTAGCGAAGTTGATTTATTAACCAAGTAGTACTCTGAAGTGCAGCTGACTTTTTTTTCTGCAGAGGTCTGGACAAAAATAAGGATAATAAAACTGAGGATAAGTAATGTGACTGCAGCCAGCACCACACCAAGGCATGTAGATGAAGGCAAGCACTTCTGTATGACATCACATACTAATCTTTCAGTTTATCCTGCTTGCTGCTTTCACTATCGGCTTTTCTTGGTAGGACCCGCCCTACTCTGTCTCTGCCTGGCTACAATGCACTTCTTGATGTGTCTTGCCCATAGACTGTATAATATTATACTACAGTTATATTATATTATACAGTTATATATTTTCTCATAGCTTAGTTTGATACATTTATCTGGAGATACCTTTAATGTAGTAAAACTTTATTTTGATATAGAGTAACTGGGAGCTTAGCTCACATTTTCAAAGTATCTTGACGACACTGCCCGTCAGTACATGTGCCGCAGCATTCTGGATCAGCTGGGGAGTATTTGAAGACTTGTTAGAGCAACGTGATAATAAAGAATTGCAATCCAGCCTAGAGGTAATAAATGCATAGACCAATTTCTATGTGTCTTTTTGAAACAAGATAGGCCTATTCCAGGGCTATTGGGGCCCCAGGCTGAAATGAGTTGTGGGCCCTTTGTGCACACACTGTTTCTCCCACTCTTCTTGCCAACATGTCATACTGTAATTTTATTTAGCATGAATTAAACACGTCTCTTGTAATAAACTCTGTTACAGTCCAAAACACTGATGTTGAGCCAGCCGCAGCTGCCTCACCACAGTAAAGTTAGATTTAATTTGGATACTCGACAGTCACTTCAGACCCAGCAACACAGCTGCACATTCTACAGCTCTTTAACTTTAAACTTGATGCAGCAGATTTAAATGTTATACTCATGAATAGCATTTATGTCAAATGGACTTCAGCAAACCAGGACCATGAATAAAAGAATAATTCAAAGCAGCTGCTGTACCTCCATCATTATTTTAGTGAACAGATGATATGCTGTTTAAAATAGAGTTAATAATAACTGTCACTATTATCATTTTGTGGCATGGCTATGGTGCAGAGCTTAGTGGTTGCATTACATTATACTCTCTCCATCAATATCGGCTAAATTAAACAGTAATCCTAAATTAAAAGCAACAAGTCCTTTTTAAGCCAAGTTTTAGTGTATTTGGGACCTTAATATGTCAACCAAACAGGCTAAAACTGTGTCAGGTTATCCAAAAAATGCTCAGAACAAGGTTGACAGATGAGATAAAACAGAGGAAGATGCTACCAAGCTAAGTACTCATGCAAAACTAAAACTGCAGCTGGAAGCAGCAGCAGTTTTACTTGGCTCCAAATTTTAGAGTTCTGACTGCAGTAAATGTATGGAGCTAGAACAGTCTCAAAATTAATAAATGCACACAGAAATTAATAAATGCACAAAAAAGGATTCACAAATGTATTTGGTGATTTATACATACCTATATAGTATGACTCAAAACACAAACACATTTTCATTGCACACAAAAATATGTTTCATTGCATATATAAGTAAAAGAAAATATCCACATATATATCCACATATAAAAAATAAGATTTATAAACATATTTGTGATGCACACACAAAAACTCCGAATGTACGCATGTAAAAATATTTGTAATTTTCAGCAAATACATATTTGGAGGTTGTTACATTGATATATGAACTGTCAAACCTGCGTTTACAAAGTGCTTTTAATTTGTAAACTTCCCTGCATTTGTGTGTGCGAGTTTTGAGACTCCCCTGACGAGGCTCGATTCACAAATGCATTTTTTCTAAGAGGGGATTGTCTGCAGCCAATCAGATGTCTCACTCTTTTACAGCCAGTCACATGAGTGCCATGTGTTTTGCTGCAGTTTCAGGACTGTTTAGTTTTCCGAGCGGAGGCTTAGTAACAGAGTAATGTAACGCATTATAATTCCAAAAATAGGAGAAATTAATTAGTAATAGTAATTAGATTATAGTTACAAGCCCAGGTTATGTTACCACTGCCGGTCCTCTCCACTCCTCTCACCCACACTTGAGCATCCATCCAGGGATACACAGTGTCGGGATGCTCCGCTGTCCTGCTAGAGTTTGTTCTGTGTTGTTTATTATTATTATTATTATTATTTATCTTATTTATTTATTCATTTTTTGAGGGAATGGAGTAATAGCCATAATGTCAACACAAGTTAGTCAGCTTCATCATGTTAAACATAAATAAAATAAATCAACAAAAATGTAAATGCTCCAAAATCATTATAATACAACTGTNCACACAAAAATATGTTTCATTCCGTGAAACATATTTGTGATGCACACACAAATATTTCTTGTTTTAAATATGCTCAATTGAAATTCACAAATATATGCATATAAAAGTATAAAAGCACTTTTCATCAGATACATATTTGGAGGTTGTTACATTGATATATGACCTGCCGAACCTGCATTTACAAAGTGCTTTTAATTTGTAAACTTCCCTGTATTTGTGTTGCGAATTTTGAGACTCTCCTGACGTGACTGGATTCGCAAATGCATTTTTTCTAAGAGGGGATTGTCTGCAGCCAATCAGATGTCTCACTCCTTTACAGCCAATCACATGAGTGCCTCCCCACAAGAGGTGTTATATGGCGTCATTAAAGAGGGCGCAGGTGGGAGTAAGGTGAAGCTGCAGTACCAGAGGCTGCAGTTTCAGTACAGTTTCAGGACCGTTTAATTTTTACCTAGCGGAGGCTTAGTAACAGAGTAATGTAACGCGTTATAATTTCAAAAATAGGAGAAAGTGATTAGTAATAGGAATTAGATTATAGTTACAAGCCCAGGTTACATTACCATTGCTGGTCCTCTCCACTCCTCTCACCCACACTTAAACACCCGTTCTGGGATACACAGAGTTGGCCCGCCAAGCCTGACCTCCGCGGCCCTCTCCGCACCTCTCACCCACACTTAAACAGCCGTCCTGGGCTACACAGTGTCGGGACTCTCCACTGTCCTGCTAGAGTTTGTTCTGTGTTGTTTTATATGAAAAGACGGAAAGATCGCCGGCCGCTAAGCTAATCAATACAATGTAAAATGCCATAGGCTTGTGCTAACAACGTTAGCATGTTGTATTTGTTTAAAAAACGTGTTTAGTACAGGACAGTTGTTTTGTCGGTGAATGTTGTGAGTTGTAATGGAGCCAAACTGTGTGCCATTACCTTTGTTAAATGTTGTCGTTGTCCCTGGTTTTTCTGAGAGAATGAGAAGATCGCTAGTTGCTAGGCTAATTTATACAATGTAAAATGCCGCAAGCTTATGCTAATAACGTTAGCATGTTGTATTTGTGGGGAAAATGTGTCCGGATTAACACAAGTGTTTGTCTGTGAATGCTGTGAGTTGTAGTGAAGCTGATTCGTGTACTTGTGTTTGAAATTGTCTCTGTTAAGCCATGTTTAATTTGTGTTTTGAATCAGCTAAACTTTACAGCACTTCACAGAAACCTCCGCCGCCGACTAGTGTTTTGGAGGTGTAACTGCAGAGTCACACAGACACACCACTGCAGAAGTAAAAATGCTCACAACAGCATAGGCGACATGTGTAGGGTCTACGCATAACCATAAATCCCCTTTTACTCCCACCTGCCATGTCAAGCCATGTCAGACTGAAGGTTCTGGGAGCTTCAGTCTGACACTCAGGCTAGGGACATTTATGAATTAAAAGCAATTTGTAAATGCAGGTCTGACAGTTCATTTATCGATGTAACATCCTCCAAATATGTATTTGATGAAAATTACAAATACTTTTACATGCGTACATTTGTGAATTTCAATTGCACATATTTAAAACAAGAAATATTTGTGTGTGCATAACAAATATGTTTATAAATCTTATTTCTTAAATGTGGATTTTCTTTTACTTATATATGGAATGAAACATATTTTTGTGTGCATTGAAAATGTGTTTGTGTTTTGAGTCATATAAATCCCCAAATACATTTGTGAATCCTGTTTTGTGCATTTAATAATTTCCGTGTGCATTTTTTCATTTTGAGACTGTTCTAGCTCCATATAAATGGAATCAAGTCAGACTTCAAAGATCTTTCATGGAAACTGGAGCAAGCAGAAAATTGGATTGGTGGTGTCAAGAACAGCATCACAGTCCATAAAACCAAACACGAGTGACCTTCAGAATAGATGATCTACAAAACAGGAATCGCTACTTGAATCTCAGACCGGTGAATCTCCTAGAGAAAGATGAAAAGCGCATTGCAGTTGCAGACTACTAGATGTGCTGCAATCCTTTGCTCTGTAAGTCATGATAACAAAGTTCT